CATGATTTCAGAGTAAACAATTCAATTATTCGTTTGGTACGATACTTTAGTTAATAAGTTACCGAACGAAGTCAACGAGAACGCGTGATATGAAGGTTTGCACCCATTATTCCCAAAAACAAAAGAAGCGCTCCGACCGAATCAATTTTTATCTTCATCCAATAGGCCGAAGTGAATTCATTGGCGTTTCAATGCGTTAGGCCGAGTTTAGAATCGGTAGGCCGAGTTTGGCGTCAAGAAGCAGTGTTAGACTTTTGACAATATCTCAACGATTGGTTTCTCTTTATAAAATCTTATGGTACGTACGGAAAGGTAAATAATAACATTCTGTTTGGTGCTAAACTGCGTTAGATTAAGGAAGACTAAGTGCGGATTGTGTTTAATAGGCCGGAAATGGGGTAATTAACCCTATATTCATAGTTCCCTGATGCTTCGGATGTTTTAGGATCAATTCTTGGAATACCCTATAATTCCACGGAACTCCTTGAAAGTCGCCGCAAATTTGCTTAAGTTAATGTTCTGAAGCTATCTGATCGTCCTCGAAGTACTCGGAACTTCGCTGAATATCATTAAACTATATAAAAATATCTAAATTTAGTTCTCTGGAATTTCTTGAAGATATCACTGCTTGCTAAAAGTTCTTGCTTTTTTTTATTAATGGAGCTTCATCGATGTTCTCTAATCAACTTAGCTAAATTTTCGCATTTTTTTAAGTTCTTGAAATCTCCATGATATAGGGTTTTAGATCTAATTTCCGTCTTACCAAGCACAACCCACGCTTTACCTCTTTTTCTTGAACGGGTTTGAACAATAAATTAAATTTTTCTATCAAAGATGACTTCTAAATTTATTTACCTTTCTATAAGCACCGTTAAATTTGATAAAGAACCACACATTGTTGAGCTATTGTTAAAAATCTAACACTGCTTCTTGATTCCAAATTCGTCCTACGAGTTTCAATTCCGTTCAAACGCATTGAAACGCCATTGGATTTTCTTCGTCCTACGGATGAAGGTAGAAAAAGCGAGTTTGCTAGGAGCGCTACTTTTGTTTTCACCCAATATGCTCTAATAGGCTTTGTGTTGTAGCTTGTGAACTAACGCATCAGTACAAACGTATTACTGATTTTTGCACGGTGAATTCATTGATTATGCTGATGTTTTCTGCTCGATAGAACGGAAATGGACGATTACGACGAAGTAGCGCTCTACCCTAACGCCCTTAAAATACTCTCGCGTTTTCCGGATGTTCATAAAATTTCCAGGAATTCTCTCGAAGCTTTGATGAAGTTTTCGGAAATTTACTGAGTTTCTCGAAACTTCTTTCAGGTTTCTAATATTTCCTTGAAATTATTTGAACTGCCCTTTGATTCTCTGACCTGTCTTGATGTTCTCGAAGCTTCCATAAAGCTCTTAGTTCTATTAAAGTTTTTTGTTCTGCTCGGAAATAAATAGAATTCCCGTAAACACATTTAAATTTCTTAGAAATTCTCTGGACCTCTGTGAAGTTTCTGAAATTTGCATAAATTCTCTGAAGGTCTCTGTACTTTCCTGAAATTCGCGGAGCATCTTAAGGGTTCTCGATTTTTTTTCATGGAACTACCGTTATTTTTTTTTTAAATTACCGTTTAAAGATTTTAAACTGCTCCAAAAGTCTGGACTATAGTTACGGGAACTGCTCTTGAGATCTGAAATTCCCCAATCTAGCTTTTCTGAGGTGCTTAGAACTTCTTAAAAATTTGCACAATAACTCTCAAGTATTCTAAATTTCTCAAGTTTGCTTGACACATGTGAAGTTCTCTGAAATTCTAGGAACTTTATAAATGTTCCTGAAAAGCTTACAGTTTCCAGTAAGTTTCCCATATTTTCAACTTGTTAGCATCCCTTATGTTCTTGCAGTTTGTTTATAGAGCTTCACTGAAATTCTTAGCATTTCCTTTCATAGCTCAGAACTTCTCCAAAGATCCTACAGGGCTGGTAGCGATCACTGCTGTCAGAAATAGTGATTTTAGTGACCATGTTGAAGAAATAAGTGACCAAATAGTGACTTATAGTTGTAAAAATAGTGACTAAAAAGTGACCTAAGACCAAGAAATTTCCAAGAATCTGCATTCAAATTCCATGAACAGTTTTAAAGACCCGAGGAATTTTATTATAATTTCTAAGGACCTCATTCCAAGGGAGCTCTGGAAAAAAAAAAATCATTCAAAAAAACATCAAATGCAATCGAGGTAGTTCTGAGGAATTTTAGATTTCTTATGAAGCCTTAGTTTTGAGTAGAATTACAAGAAATCTTAGGAATTTCTGAGGAGCACAACTCTTGTGAACTTCACCGGAGAATTCCAAGGGCATTCTGAGGATAATTTCATAAAGTTTGTGGGAGAAAACGAATCCGGAGCAGAAGTCCTTAGAATCTTTATGAAAATACTAAAAGGAGCATTACAATTAAGTCTGAGAATAACTCCAGAACATGTTCAAAGGAATTCAGAAAATAAATTCAGAGCAGTTTGCCAAACAAATTATGAGAAGAAATGTAAGGAATTTCTGATGAGAAATGCCAATGAATTGTTAGGAGACTTTCAATGTAAGTAAAATTCTAAGGGAAAAAGTGAGATTCAAAAAGAAATCTGGATTGAATTCAATGAATACTCAGAGAATCTTTCCAAAGAATTTCTAATTATGGAGAATTTCAAAGTAATTCCGAAGAAAACTAAAAGAAAATTTAATTCAGAAGATAGCTTCATCGAGATTTTGAGGAAATCTCCGTTAAATATGGAATGAACTATTTTGAGGTTTTCAGAATCACTTGAAAATTCTTAAATTTTTCCTGAAGTTAATGAAACTACCTTGAAGTTCTTTTGTAGTTTGATAAACTAGCCTGATGCTCACAATACTTCTCCTCAAATTCTGAACTTTATAGGACTTTCTAAAGTTTCCTCAATTTTTCTAACGATCATGGATCTTCTTTAAAGGTTTAACAATTCACTGAAGTTCTCTAAACTTCTTTAAAAATTATGTGACTTCTCTAATGTTGACGGAACTGCTCTGAGGTTCTCTGTTCTTTTCTGAAATTCCCAAAACTTCTCTAAAGTTTTTGCAGTTCTCATGAAGCTTGTTGTACTGCGCTGAATTTAATAAAATCGTCCTAAAAATGCTTCAGTGAACTTCTGAACTTATGCAAAGACCTCAAAAAAATTTTTAACGTCTCTGAAGTTATCTGAAAATCTGGGAATTGCTTTAATTTTCAAGTTTGCGGATCTCATCTCATCAAGCTCCATAGATTTATATGAAGTACCAATTTACCTAAATTTTCACGTTTTCCGGATGTCCATATAACTTTGATCACGTTCCAGATATTCTCTCGAAGCTTTGCAGAAGTTTCCGGAAATTCTCTGAGTTTCTCGAAACTTCTTTAAGGTTTCTACAATTTCCTTGAAATTATTTGAACTGCCCTTTAATTATCTGATCTGTCTAGATGTTTTCGAAGCTCCCCTAAAGCTCTCAAGCTATTTACGATTATAGATTTCAAACTGCTCCAAAAGTCTAGACTATAGTTACGGGAACTACTCTTAAGCTCTGAAATTTCCCAAAGATTTCTAGATCCAGCTTTTCTGAGGTGCTTAGAACTTCTTAGAAATTTGCACAATACCCCTCAAGTTTTCTTAAATTTCTCAAGTTCGTTTGATACCTGTGAAGTTCTCTGAAATTCTAGGAACTTCATAAAAGTTCCTGAAAAGTCTCGGATGCTAAAAGAACCGCTTTGAGGTTCTTACAGCTTCCAGTAAGTTTCCCATATTTTTAGCGTGGTAATTTCCCTTACGTTCCTGCAGTTTGTTTAAAGGGCTTCACTGAAATTCTCAGCATTTCCTTCTCCATTATGAATTTGAAATAAATCATTTATTTTTTAACTTAATTCTGGCAGTTTGAAAATCTTCATCGAACAGGAACATGCAATGCGAAATTTCAAGACATTGAATATTTTTAGATCTTGGACTTACTTACTTGGAAAACTCAGGTAATTTTATCCAGAAAAATGAGTAGACGTATAGAGAAAGACGATTAAACATCACAAAGAATAATCAATCTTGCAATAAATTCACGCTAAAAAAGTTGAAAATAGTGACTTTAGTGACTTGACCTTAAAAAAAGAGACTTTTTAGTGACTGGCTTGAAAAAAGTGACCAAGTCACTAAAAAGTGACTCGCTACCAGCCCTGAAATTCCAGATTATTCCCCGGTTCTCCTAGTTTTCCCGGTTCAGTGACCACCCTGATTTCAAACATCTTTGCCAGTGTTCGGATGTTCCGGATTCTGGTTCTTCGTTTTTGGAACCACACTTTCTCCAAGCAACCAGCTGATATACCACAACATTTTGATCTCAGACAGCGGTCAGTGGCTTCTTATGTGAACCTATTATTATTATTTATCTTTATTAGGGAGGCTTTCAGCCTTGGGCTGGTTCGCCTCCACTTATATGAACCTATTAGAATTAATCCACTGTAAGTATTTATTTGTTAATTAAAGATTTTAGATCGAGTGATGTCAACCCTTACAGAAACTAAACACTTGTTCACATGCGGTATGGTGTTAGGATGATAACGCCATTCTTTAAAGAGGCTTAGTCTATAGTCTAGACTAGGGACGTTATCAGTCCAACAGTAAACCTTTTTTATTCAAGTATTTATATAATAAAATTATATGCATCAACGTCCCACGTTCCTTATAAGTAACATAGAACATGCGACAATAATGTGTATGACGGCACTATAAGACTTGCCTAATTTTTCTTCTCGGTTTTCAACATCCCTACAGAGGCGCTGAAAACTACACCTAACAAAGACATTTTCCAAAAGTTTCACCCTAACTTTTGTTGATCGAACCAGCGACAAACTTTTTATCCTTTCTTTAAACCTGCCCATAAAAAATAACGAAATATCATAGCTCTTTTCCATACGATCCTGGCCAGATTGGTCACGGTGGAAAACATCAAACCCGTACTTACCATTCTCACTGCTGTCGTCCGTATCGTTGGTCAGTATCCCAATCAGCTCGTTCTTCTGGTGCAGCTCGTGGGCGAGCTGCGCTAGGTTCTCGTTCGTGCTCTTCAGCTCCTGTTCCAGCTCGGCTACCCGGTTCTCCAAGCTCGTATTCTGCGTCAGCAGTTCCTTCCCGATCTGCACCGTCAGCTCCAGGTCCTTCTCTTTCTCCTCTAGCAGACGCGTTACGGCATCGATGTCATCGTACGCGCGGGTCATTTGGCTTACGCGATTACCGCATAGGACTGCAGAAAGGATAATAAAGGAAGGAAGAAGAACGAAATCAATAAAAAATGCTAAGCTACGTGATTGATATTGGTACATTTAGTTATTGCAGATAGATAGGGAAGAGAGAGAGAAAATGCATCGCAATTCGTTCGGGGGGGGTCTTACGTAAAGACAACAAAGCCGATGAAGGGGGAAAACATTGAACAAGGCGAAACAAACTTATAAACCACACCAAAACAAAACCGACTAATCGACGAAAATCGATAATTTCTGTGGCAGCGAAAAGGGTGTTTAGCGTTTTTTTTCTTCTCTGCTGCCTATAAACTATAAATAGATCTGTGCCGTAGTGTTTTGAACTTGAACTTGAAGCTGTGGACAGGCGGTGGCCTTGAATGGAAACTTAAAATGAGCTAAAGAAAAGCCATAAAAAGTAGGTAATATGCATAGCTATGAAAGTGGTTATTGCGACCGTGTTTTTTTTTGTTGCTTCCGCGGGAACATGTAATCTTGAGTACTATTTAGCAAACAAGATTAGAGGAAGGCGCTTGTTGTGTGGTTTTGCAGCGTGCGCTACAGGTCTCGTTCGTGGTCAGCGAGGTGATGTATTAAATCCAAGTATTGAAATACCCAGTGGTTACAAAAGCGTAGAAAATAATTAGAATGTTTTTTTTTAATAAATATAAAAACAGTTCCTAAGAAATGTCTGCCACTCATGGACAACTGCCTGACCGACATTTGTGCACAAGTTAAACACATTAGTCATAAACCAAATCCCGTTAGAGATGTCGTACATGCCGACACATTAGGCCCGACATGTCATCACCAGGGGAGATGTCACTTCCCATTTCCCGGAACAGAGAGAACATTTTTCCAGTTTCTGGGTCATAGCTGTCGCAATCGCCCCGTGCACCGGTGCAGCGCATTCTTTACAATTACCTCGTCCGATGCACCTCCTATGGCGACGTCACTGTTGAGCAGTGCATACACAAACAGTACAAAATTGGCCAATCTTGGCGGCTCGTGATGCGTGAAGTTGAAGATGCCTCCTCCAGCAGGGTACTCCTCCGGAGTAGCAAACCTTTTAGACGAAATTACTTTCGAATTAAGTCTAATAATCTATGCACGCCGTACTGCTAGGTTTAGCGCTGAGCTCTTACTTACTGAGTTTGAATTGTTTTTTGTTTATGTAACTTTTTTCCCAATAGCTCCCACCAATAGGCACCTCAGTGCAGTGTAATGGCTCAAAAATGCTCCAAATATTCGTCCAACTGTTGGAAGGACGCCCTTGCACCGCCGTTTGCCAGCAGTTCGCACGATTCTCACGTTTCTCGTGTTTTGCTCTAAAAATCTCGCACCTCCCTCTCGCAAAGTGTGTGGGGTAATTTCGGCTCACTTACAAACAATTTCCCTCGTGGCAGCGGTGTGGGGGCGGCGGCGGCGTTCCAAAAACTGGCCCAAGTGAATCGTCGATTGTTCCCATCTTTGGGGCGCATTCATAAACAATCAATTAATCTACACAATAAGTGGAGCGTTGAGAAACGAACACCACGGCGAAAAGCAAATATCGCATCTATTGTTGATGCTCCACAGGCCCCCGCAGTTTGACGGTGACAAATGGTGCTGCCGCACCCTTTGGCGCCGCGGAGTTGAGTTAGAAGAGTTATTGCATAAGAGCGAAAATTTTCCGCACGATTTTCCAGTAGCCCGTGATGGAAAATTGTGCAAATATTTGACTTGGGCTCATCGGGATCTGGGCTCCGGACCGAAAGCTGAAGGTGACGAAAGTGTTGTTCGGCGCAGTAATGAGACGGGCACGACCCGGGAAGGGTCGAGAAACAAGAACTTTTCGTGACGAGGTCTCACAAATGCCATTCGGGACTGCAAGCACCGGAGAAGGCGGATGGGTTGGGCGGAAAGGGCACCTGATCGGGGCCTAATTAGTGTCGTTACGAAACACCTTCGCGAGCTGGTCTTCTGCACAGCGCATAGCGAGTTTCAATTTCGTTAACGAGCGAAACATTATGCCTACCATAATCGATGAGGTAGGCTTAGGGTTTTAATGCAGTCTTTTCGGAGAGCTGATTTATAGACGAAATTGAGCCGATCGAGAGGTAAGCCATTAGAAATAATGAGCGGAAATTGAATCATCGATGGATTGGTTTGCCTGAGAGTCGTGTTAGTATTTGACATCTCTATTTCGAAAAATAAGCAAACTTTAGTCAGATGAAATGATAGCCTAAATCGTTTTTGAATATTCTATGTAAAGTGCATAAGATGCCAACATTTCACGGATTCAGAGGGCGAGCAGTTCTCCATTCTCGTTGGGACGTTCTTCTTCTGGAAAGGCTTGCTTCGTTACTAGTCAGCAATTCCATAGAAAAAAGTTAGAGTGGATCTTAGAAAAAATATTAGACCCGTATTTTGACGTAGGATTACGGCTTTCGGCAACATATTGGGGATGCAATTTAAAAAATCAAAATCGACCGCGTTACGAAAAGTGGTCAGGTTTTGACCACTTATAACTTTGTCAATAGCGGATTGGATTTTAATTCTAAACATGCCAATCGATTGGAAATTTGTCTACGAATCTAATAAAATTAACACTTTATCAATTTTCAATACGTCACTTTTGAAAATTACACAAATGTCCAACTGTTGCAATGGTGATCAAAATTATCTAAAAGCGCTTTCCCTAACACAGATATCAAAAACGAATTCCATCCAGTCGGTGCGAACGGTGCTTATTTATCTATGCCAAGCTCGTCACCCTCGTTCCAAACAACATACAGCATGCCAGCCTCATCTGTATTGAACATCCTAATAGCACAGCATTACTCAGTCATCACGACAAAACGATCCTTTTCAGGACCACCATGATTTTTTTTAAAGTGTATTTTCTGGACATTTGTCAAGATCATCAATCGGATGTCAGTTTCCATAAGTATCTAACATACCATGTATTTTTAAGGTAACATTGGGGGAGCAATTTCGAAAACCAAAGTCGGTCGTGGCATGAAAATGGTAAGACATTCCTCCAATCAATTTTTGCTTCATTATTATCAATTGAATAAACCAAAAATTCCGCGCGTTTTGTGCACGAAAATGCGTAATTTTAACATCAGAAAACGAGGCGTTTCCGTGATGGGAAAAAGTGGATTCCCTAACACAGTAATCGAATATTAATACCGAGCACGTAATCCTACGTCAAATCTACAGTGTTGTCTTGAATACAACCTCTTACTTTTTTTATTTCGCCATTAGGGTGGCCTCTTTTGTGTTAGAGTGATCCGAAAAATCTGAATTTTTCCTAGTTTTTAGTTTTTTTAATCAGTACTTTTGAACCACTTGAATGATTTTTTGGATCAAAAGGTCTAATGAAAGATTATTAAATCTACGAATAGGATAGAATTAGGAAAAATATGGATATGGACTTAAATCGTGGTTTTACATTGAACAACATTGATTATAATCGATTTTCATTTTTTTTTTCATGGTCTCGGGACCAACATGTTTTTTCGTTTCTGATCTAGAATTTTTCAAAAATATGAAGCTTTTAATTTTTGCTCATAAACTGCTATGAGCCTCTATTATTAAAACTTAATATTTTTGAAAAATTGTTACTTATAAACGAGAAAACAGTTATGGCTGATTTTTTATGTTGTGTAAAATAGTCCAAATCATCAAGAAAATATATAACATGCAATTATTTCATTGGTCCCGAGACCATGAAAATCATGAAAATCGATCGCGACAATAACTTAAACGTCATAAAGAACAGCTTAAAAGTTAAAAGGAACAGCTTTATAATCAAAACTAATAAAAGTTCAAATTTAAAATTGGTTTAACAAATTTAACCTTCCTAATGCATAAGGAAAAACTTACATATTTAGTGTTTCTAGACCCAAAATGACCCGAATGCACTAGGAAGGTTAAAGACATCGTAAATATGCTTTAAATTACTGGCAAAATAAAAAAAAAGTTTTTAATTTATCTGAGGATCATGCAAAATATTGAATAAACTGGAAGTATTTCAAGTCAAAAGAAATCTAGTTCTAGGAGGCAAAAGTTTGTATTACAGTAATGACCCGATTCCGTTAGCCCTTCCGCGCATCAGACTTTTATCTTTCAAGAATTTCCCTGGTGACCAACAAATCCCGATTATCAATTTCCCGGTTTTTCCCAGAATTTTTGGAAATTTTCACAATTGAGCGATATACATTTAAATGAAGGATAAAACCAAATGCGATTGAACCGAAGAGATCACTAGGTTAAATGAGTCATTACTAAGACTAAGTTTTTTTTTGCTGGATCTTAAATTTGGTTCTGCGATCAATGTTTTCAAAAAATTTCTCGAAAAATTCGATCAAAACATAACAGGCTCTCATTTTATTATTCTCAAACATTTCTTTTAAAATAATTTCCCGGCAACTGAGTTCTTCTAAAATATATTTGAGATTCTTTCCGGGAATCCCTTGAAAATATATAACAGTCCAGAAATTCTTTAACTCAAAATAAAATCATAAAATTCGATTCTTTTTGAATTAAAAACTTTTTCTAAAAATTCACCGATGCTTTCTTCAATTTTATTTCATTCGCTTGAATTCTCATTAGTTCCTTAATTCCCATGCAATTCACCTCCGAATTGTCTTCAAAATGTTACTCAGAATTATCTTGGAGATCTCATTTAAATTCTTCTGAAAATTCACTTGGAATTCTTCTTAGTATTATCTATAAATTATTTTTGAGAAGCTCCTGAAATGATCCTAGGAATTTCCTCAAAACTCTTCGCGCAATTATTTTGAAATTGAAATGACTCTTAACTCACACAATTGACTTGAAGTTTTAGACAAAATTTTCTAAGAGTTCATCCCAAATAACATTGCAAATTTTATCGAGGATTTAAGACATTTACAAGACTAAATAACAGTCTACAGAACCCTCATAAAACCCAAATTGTTACATGGGATCTCAAAACTTCCTAGGACATTTTCACTGGAATACCGTGGTGTCATCTCTA